AGGATGCGAGTCTCAAAACGATCTGTCATCGTTTCATGGGCCAATGCACCCACCGCAGACCACCATAACAGACATTTACAACCCAATCCATCACTTCCTCGATTGAATATCAATGGGAAGTTGGTCATGACACGGTACTCAACACCCTTTAAAAGGTATCAAGTCGGCGCCTCCACCCTCAAAATACTTATTTTTTGCCTTCAGCCGACTCCAGGGTGAGAACAAAGTAATTAGTGAAACACGTATCAATGAAAAATTTGTTTCCAAAAGAAAATTTCAATGTGACCGGATGTGTGTATTATCTTCGACTCCTCAATAAGGTTCTTGAAAAAAAGTGGAAAAGGGCAATATGGCTCTTGCAAATGATAGCCCTTTATAAAGTTGGAAGAATGAGTTCCCAAAGAAGTGACAAAGAACTTGCTTACTATGAAGGTCTGCATCCAAGGCGGAAGAGAGAGGTGGATGGAGGAGATTTGAGGATGCGGAAGATGTAGAGGAGCGGTCAAGCCAATGGTTGAATGGACTGTCGTTGACATAGGACGACCGCTTTCGCTGTTCCTGTGCAGACGAAAAAGCCGATGTCGCAGCCCCAGTCAAAGCAGTGTTTTTGCGCTTCTTGTGAGGCTTGTTCGCGACATTCTGCGAGTCCATGAAGAGATGCGGATGAAACGAACCCTTTGTAGACTTAGATGAAAACAGAAGGAAATCCGATCCTGGCTCAAGGTCCGATACCTCGGGATTTAGAAAGAACTGGCGCCCTTCCAACTCCGCCCGGGTGAACTTAATATCCTGTGTTGTTTGAATAGAAGTAGCAAAATCGGTTGATCAATGTTAGTCATTTTTCCTTTTCTGTACCATGGTAGGAGATGTTTTTCATAAGTTATTACAAATGTTCAAAATAGTGCGTTTGGCATCTTCGCGGAAGCATAGACCATTTAGCATTCCGTAAAATTAGTATAAGTTTCAAGGCGAAAAATAATACGATATTACGAATTAAGACTACTCTCTCATGCATGCTGCTTACATGACCATTGTTGCACCAATTGTCGCTACAGCAATGGACAACGGGCTGTTGGGCACGGCCGTCTCCGTCAACATAGAGGTTGCCAAAGCCCCCTTTGATGACACCACTGCCACTGTCACTGCCACCGGCCGCGGGCTCGTGGCACATCTGAAGCCGATCCGGTGGCACACAGCCACGATGTTCGGCAATGAAGAGCTGACTGCCTGCGCCATACATCCTCAACGTAGTGGAGGTTTCTCGCTCACTCTGCTTCGCCAGTCGGTACGACACGTAGCAGTAGAGCGTCGCCTTACATTGGCTGTTATTTTCTGCTTGGCATTTTGCAGTATCGCATTTGCAAAGAATGTAGCCTATATCAAACCCAATGGAAAACACTTTTAGTTCTTTGGCCCTTTGCTAGTCGTACGAATGTTGGTTCACCTCATAACTATCGCATGATAATTTGATAAACATGGTCATAGGAACGAGACAATTCAAACAGACTTGAACTTGCCAAATAAATAGTCCTAAGGCACTCATACATCGTGGCTTGAATGCCTCCCTTAACTTGCACGAGTGCAATGGTGTTGCACAATCATAAGGCGAAGCTGTTGGCTAAATTACTAGGACCTATTCAATGGTAAAAGAACCTGAGAGGAGCAAGGAGCAGAGACTAGTAAGGTTCAACTACATACTCAAAAGGTTAAGCGCATCATTGAGCGCAAATGATGCCAAAATGCAGATTTGGCATTGAGATTTACCAAACTGCCCGGCCTCCATCATCAAGGAAGCAGAGTACTTGCTTTTACCTCAGATTTTGCCATGTCATCTCGCCGTAAAGACACAATTTGACAAATTAAGTACATTTCGCATCGAAGAAGTGTGAATGCCACAGTAGATGCGCTTGCATGAAGGTTCTGTCATCCGACTCATTACGATTGTATGTGTACAATTGAAAAGCCTCAATCGGAAGTAAGAAGCCAGCAGTGACAGGAGGTATTCATAATATCGGCTGATGGTCCTTTTAACCCAAGTCCACATACACAGCCCAGGTATCACCACAGCGACGATGGAAGGATACAGTTGTGACCGCCAAAAAGGACATCGAGCCTACATTACATCATCGGACGCCGGCACGCAAACCCCAATACAGTCTCTCCTTACTCCACCCTCTCCGCTGTCGCCTCAGTGCTAACAAAATTTTCGCCACTTATTGCTTCATTGAGGGAAGAATCTGGGCTAGTTGTAACAATTTCTCCAGCCCAGTTTGGATATGTGCTTGTGTATGCACACAAATCAAGCCACGATTCACTCTGCCGCCACCCTTCGCACGGGAGACGACTTCGACATAAATAAGGACGAACATTGGCAGCGTCCCACTTGTTATGCGACCGAGATAGGCGCCAAATCACTTAGGCTAGTGCTTTACCTACGTATCCTTGGAGTTGTTTTTGCACAGATAGGTCGGTTGTTAGCACATTTTTTTCGTCGGTAAAAATGACTTTTCTCCATTGAACGCAACAACGCAGCCACCGACAGCTAGTGTGCAAAGGAGGTAATCAAGGGAGTGCTCCGATCCTGTGTAAGCAGTTATCAACGGGAAAGTGCAAAAGCCCCTAAGGGATAAAAATCCCATCAATTTTGGGATCGCTAAGCCTTGAACTTGATATTTTATGGGGAATTTGTACCGAATGTTCATAAACATGAACGCATTGGTCGAAGCTTGAGAGTGGGATTTGCAAAATCCCTAGGGTCAGACGAGACTGTGGCCACCCATTTCGCGTATCGCTGAGTGCGTTGGCGACAGCCGCCCCTATGATGTTCCTCTAAATCTTACAGCGAGCAAAACTTCGACGCCTCTTGCATTTAACACGACTCTACCGTGAAGCTGCAGCAACTACCGCTTCAAAAAAGTTCATTGGCGATTGCTGTTTCAAGGCGACTCGGTTGAGTAGGCGTTCCACACTTATCAGTGGCCAATGTTCTAATTAGGGGGTATATGTTCGAGGCATCCCACCAATTAAAATTGGCCATCGTTCAGACGTTAACCCTTGAATCATCTAATTACTGGGCATTGAACTATCACAAAAGGGGGATGAGTGCCAAAGGGGAATCTGAAGTGCCGCATCGAGAGTTACCAACTTGGCAATACTGGAACCCATTCCTTGCACAATAAGAAGCCACGTGAGGTCGAAGATGCATGAGTCATCATAAAACAGATGCTTTTTGTAAATGACTTTGATGCACGTGTTTTGACCACAGCCTAACATCCGTGCGTCTAGCGCAACCTTAAATCACGCATTCTCCTCTTCCACGCAGAGTGGCTGACCCCAACTGACCGCTTATGCAAAGGCAGAGGCACGGAGCGATCGAGATGTAATTGACCAAACTAGGTGTTGCAATTATCGTTGCACAAAACATGAACACCCTCTGCACATCACAGAATGAACAGACAGACGATATTTTACTCATTTCCAAAGTCGATTAAGGAGGTGTCGGCAGAGCCAAATTATGCAACTCTTCTAATTCATAAAATGTGACTCTGTGCGCCAAGGTTAAGTGGTGACTTCTTCACTTTTAAAATCCCATATGCACAGTAACGTTTAAAAAATTTCAGCTTAAAAGTGAACAGCGGTACCACCTAGCAAAAAAAAATACTGTCACATCTGTTTCAGTCGTCAGTATGAATTGTTTTGAAGTTCCTCTGTGAGCTCAGTGGTAACGTATTATTAGCGAGAAAGTGTGGACCTCGCTCTTGCCAAACGTTTATCCACGTGCCGATGCAAATTTATTCTGGCGCTTTGAGAGCGAAAACCACCTCACGGTAGAGCGTTAGCCATTGTCGAAGTTCCAACATTTTGGTATACCTAGCGAAAAACGCAAACCACTTTCCGATATTTGCGCTGCATGTACTGAAGAGGCTATCCTAATTACGTAAATCCAAACGTAGAGACATTAGAATGTTCGCTTGAACACGTGTCCAATAACATGTGTGATAAAATATGGAAGAAATCCAAGTAAAGCACATTTTGCAAGTGAAATACTCGACACTATATCGCTCGAGCAAGCGAAACAGTTGCATCACCTATCTTCCTACATCTCCTATCAAAATCAACCAAATGATCAGTTGCGTGTACGTGTATGCTAGAGTACAGCCTATCGTCTTCATGTACCCAAGAGTAAGGTGCCCTTTTATGTGAGTCCTCCTCTTCAAATTGGCCGTAATCGTGGGATAACACATCAAACACAGGGTAGGGAGTGGAGCCATAAATTTGTAAATCTCGGCTGATATACAGATTAGAGTCGCAGAAACAGGTGGTAGTCTCATCTGTTTTCTTCCCCCTCCTAAACTGAGCCTTGGACCGCGCGCCTGAGCCCTGATGCGCAAACCGGCTTTTGACTGTTCGTTCATGTCTTGAAAACGCGCTACTCCGCGACTCGTACACAACCCCTAACAGATTTATCCAAAATTGGTGATTTCGTGGGAGGGGATGGAAACGCAAGCGATCCACATACGAGACATGATGACACTCACAGATGCCCACGACTGGGTACATAAGAAACCACCCACGTCTAACTGCTGCGCCTCCCATTCTCCCTCCATCCTCCTCTGCATACAATTAGCCTATTGAGGTAGGTATTCAAACTTTCATCATAAACCCTGCCTACCGAGCCCTATACGTCAAAACTATGCAACAGAATCGTGTTTTAATAGAAGACTGATATGCCGTTGAGAAGAGACGTAATTAAGTAAAGGGATGCATGAAGACTAACAACAGCAGACGGTGTTTGGGGTAGAGACAAAATAGTGCCAATGAAGGCTATTCAGTTACCTCTCCTTTTGACAAGATTTAATTGAAGTGAGAAATTGTAGAATTGACTGCACTATTCCGTTCTGCTATCCTCGAGAATACTAGAAGAATAGGAGACCAACACCATAGTACCGTGATACATTTAATGGACTGTGCCCGTCAGTGTAAAATATGCTAAAGAACACAATTGGACCAACCCATAGCATTTGCACTGACGGTCTACTTGCTAACGAGACAATGAGTAGATGAGAACGGTTCCATTCTGCGAAAGGAATAAACGGGGCTAGAGCGTAACAGGACAGCTCAACATCGTTTAATTGACAAATGCATGACCAAACAATCCACCAAGTGAAGGACTCACCGCATGTGCAAGGGAGGAGAGAAGCAAATAGTAGGACGATAATCCACAAAGAAGAGAACATTTGGAGACAAGTCGAAGGCTATCAGAGGAACACCATCCAGAGGAGGCGGAAGAGGCGATGACGCTGACGAAGTGGAATGCCA